CAGACCTGACATTGCAGAGATACGTCGAGGTTGAGTGCAAACTATTTTACATGCCTCACCCTTACCCCACGCATGATCCAAAATATATTGTGGGACCTGAATCACAATTAATATTAAGATAAACATGACAATCACAGAAAATGGATAATGTTTCACAAAGCTTAGGAGATCCTTGCATGTTCAAAGAGATGAAAGTATCTGAGTCAGTCAAACCCAAGATCATGAAATATCAAGAACGTCGTAGCACATCCACAATTTTAACCACACAAGCCCAATATGAAGTTAATCATAACAGCTATGGCAGTATATAGGAACTAGTAAAATTCAAAAACCGATTTTTCAAACACCAACAAAAACGCACAAGATTATAAATTGATACTCCCTCCGTTCCTTATTATAAGAGACGAATAATCGAATTACGTTGATAAAAAAAACAGTTAAAATTAGTTAAGAACAATCAATGTGTAAAAAGTATAATCTTTTTTCCAAAAATGCCCTCATTAATAAGGAGAGAGAGCATGAGAGAGAACAATTAAATTATTAAAAGAAAGAGAAGTGGGAAGGAGAGAGAGTGTGAGTTGGAGACAATAAATATGGGTAAAATAGGAAATCAACACAAAAAGGTAGAGACAACTTTTAAGTGTCTCTTATATATAGGAACATACCATAAGCATCAAATGTCTCTTATAATAAGGAACGGAGGGAGTAATTACTTGCCAAGAGTCCAAGATGCACACTAATCCCTCCAACTTTAAACTACCTAATCTTGTTCCTATCACCCATCTGAGACCAAATTAAGTTCCCACACTACTCGTTATCATTCCCTACAAGAGTGTTCTAAATCGATCAAGACTCATCAAACCAAGCACCTCAAAAGCTAATCTAAACATATTAATATTGGTTTGCTTAAGTTTTTTCTATGTATGAACCAATCAGTTCAGTCAGTTGTGTTTGGGGGGAAATATCCAAACCAAACTTGCTGTTCAAAATGTATAAGATACACACGTATTATAAAGCATGAGAGAACACAGTTTTGCCTGCATCATCCCCTCGAGTTATGGAACCAATATCCTCATAGATTGTAAAACTCCCAAAGGCCAAGTGGTCCTAAGCAGTAAGTCCGAAATACAGCCCATTTCCAGATCTTCAGCTTACAACTCACTGCTGCCTCATCATCTCAATTTTCTCCAGAAATCAATTATATCCACATCCCATTACATTCCATTGCCCAAGGTGAACAAACAATGACGTAATACCTCATGATTTTTGTCAATTAGCAAAAGAAGCTGTCCAAACCACCTGACCACATTCTGACACTTAATTTATCACTTCCTATGCATTTTGATTGTCTGTCCTTGTCTAGATACACAGCAATTATGGCTTACTAGTTCTGTGTAATGAGCTATAGCTTTCGAAGCATATGCTTTCTTCCTTTCCTTAGTTGATTGTCTATCGTTATTCATAGTTCCAATTGGCTACTCCTGTCTCTTTCTATGCAGAATTCTATAATTGGGGAAAAAAAAAAGGGGAAAAGGAACAGCTTCAAGTGTTTTATTCCCAAAATAAGTTCATACATTCTATAGCACCCATCAACTCAAGCAATCCAAGACACATTGAAAGAGATTGGTTGAACCGCTTATGTGTAGTCTGATCATATATACCTCCAATAGGTCAAATGACCATGATAATCAAACAGCGAAGAACAAATCCAAATTATAAGATGAAAACTAAGCTTCAACTAGACAAATATGATGTCAAAGAGACCTTAGACATCATTTTAAGATAATATAGTGCAACAGTTTCATTAACTTACTTCCTAGCGCAAAAAAAAGAACAGCTTGAAGAAAAAGGGGGGGACCATTCACACCACAAAATTATATCTTCGATGATAAAATCACAAGAATATAAATACGAAAAAAAAAATGTTTTGAAAGAGGGTGACAAATTATATACTATATGTGGTTGTGGCAGAATTGAGATAAAGTAAAGAATTATAACCTGTGTGGTCTTTCCACAACCAGTCTCACCGGATATGAGAACTACCTGCTTTAAAACGCATGAAGAGAACCATGAGACCAAAGAAAAGAAGAAATCTAACTTTCATATTTGGCTGGATAATTATGTTGAAGGGTTAATAACCAACACATTAACCCACTGGATGTAAATAGTTAAAATATCGATGAACTTTTTTCAGTGCTTAATCATATAGCAATCTGCAATCAAGATTTGAAAAAATAAAAAAGACTCAGGTCAAAACATTTGAATAACCTGGTGAGATTCGACAGTTGATGTGATCACATCCTTGAATGCTGCAATTGGAAGCTTAGACCTCTGTGCTGTGATCTGCAAAATCAGAATTCAAACAAACCATTCATTGGCAGGACTATTATTTAGCAAGCACTGCAAATAATGCAGGAAGAAGAGTAACAACATGTCATGTACTCGATGGAATTCATAAAGGTCTTAACATGCGGAAAAGAAATAATAGAACCTTTCGTTTGGCGGGGGTTTTGTTCATTCTAGAAGAAAATGCTTCCAATTTCTCACTGATTTCAGCTTTGCTCATGGATGGCTTGCTGAAAGTATCATCTTTAATTTGTCTTGTTTTATCAGTTTTGTCATTATGTCTTCTATCCATCTCTTCCACCAACTGTCCATCACCAGGTGGATGATGGGCATATAGAACCCCTAGTACCGCTTGTGCCTCTTCGGAAAATGCAAAATACGGAAGATTTTCTAATCCTGTATCAGCGTCAACCTTATGTACAGTTTTGAAGACGGATATTTGACGTTGTTTTGCTGTCCTGTACAAAACGTAGAATCCATAAAAGAGAAAATAAAGAGCAAATTGAACGTAAGAACGTGAAAATAGCGCCAATATCAATGGAGAGAAAACAGAGAATACAATTCTTGCAGCCTGAAATGTAAAATCTAACAAATAATGTCAGTAACACTCACCCAGAACTTTTGGATTTCATACCCATTTTTTGGGATATTTGGTGCACTAAAGCACGTTCATTTTTGGATAAAGTGGCATCAAACTTGTATTCTGCGGATTGTAAGAATAGATAAACTCAGTCAGAAACATAGAAGGAAACTAAGCAAACCATGCGAACGTAAGAGACAGAATAGAATCACTTTTGATAGGCCGTTTTAACATAATTCATGAACCTATAAAGAATAAATTACGAAAGAAATTACAAATCATATAACCAATAATCAAGGTCGTCCATTTCTTATCTCAAACCATACGCAAGACAGATCCCACATCACGTATCTGCATCCCACAACAAATGCATACAACACCAAATCATGGGGCATTCGAAGATCCAGAAATACCTTTTTCATTAGAGTTCTTAAACTCCTGTAATATCTGGTTAAGTCGAATCCGTGTGGGCTCGTCAACTGTGGGATTCTGGCTCTGAAGTGGCAGTCCTTTCTCGGAGCGACTCCTCTTTGCCATTGTATCGTAAAAATCTCACCGAAGGTTCCAAATGAGACTGAAGAGAGGCTAAGGTTGACGACGAAGAAGAAATGGAAAGAAGAAGAAGAATGATAGTCTCAGAAACCCAGCTGTGCGGGAAGTAGGCAAGTCATGGGCCTTCTACAAGTTAAGGCGCATGGCTCTCGTTGTTTCCGGTGCTTTTATTTTGCCCTACGCTTCAGCTTCGGCCGCTCCGCAATGCCCTCGGAATCACTTTCTTTTTCAACTTTGTTTCAAATCACAAAAAATAAAGATTTAATAAATTATATCCATAATTATAATATTTTAACTATCAGATATTCAATAATTAAATTAATTACTTCGGTATTTTTCTTGCTTAGTTTTACCTGCGTATAGGTGGTCGAGAAAAAAGTTTTACATCCGTAGTACTGTCCACGACTTGTTATGATTATAATTTTATGAATATATAATTATATTTTCATATTATTATAATTTTTACTATTTTTATCAAGGCGTTGGCGAAAAAAGAAGAATTATTTTTACCAAGGCTTCAAATTTTTTTATTTATTTCATATTTTCTTTTAATTCATAAATATTTTAACTATCAGACCAATTTATTATTATATCAATGAAGAGCTAATAATATAATATGAAGTATTAAAAAAAATGCTTATATGCTGTTTTCCCCCTCAACATGAATGTGCTGGTTGAAAATTTATTAGTCTTAATATATTTTGTGTCTATTTTAAATCTAAACCTATTTTGTAATAACATCTAGAAAACCTTCATTTTTCAAGCTAATCTTTTTTTTTAATAAACATTTATTTAAATATAAATCACAACAATTTTTCAGTCATAATACTCTTTCGGTCCTAACTATAAAACCCTTATAGAACCGGAGGAGTATAATATATGAAATATTCAGGTTGCAACTTGCATTATCATATGCTATGTTTCATCACATTACGACTTATTTAAAATGGTTTATAATCAGTTTTTAAACTATGATATACGTAATATGGGATAAATATATAGAAAAAAATTTAACTCAATTTATATGGGATGTGCTTATAAATAGTAAGCATGTGGATGCCTTTCCATTCAGGCTGCAACTTGCAAGCTAGCGTAGTGCGGCAAAGCAACTGAAGAGACTTGTGGTTCGCTAGGTTAACTGAAATTGGGGTTGGTGGGAATTAGAAAGGTCCATTGAATGCAAGTCAGGCCCACTATCTTCGGCATCTTTAGGCCGTGTTGGGCCCACTTCACTAAAAACGTAGAAGAAAGCTCCAGTTGGGCCTACGTCACCAGAGCCCAATTTATACAAGTTTGTTTTCACCACAGTATGGTCAGGTGGGCTTGGCTAGTTAAAGGGCATTTTCCCGGCAACAAATGTGGACTTGGCAGTGGGCCCACTCTTCTTAACAGATCCAGTTTGCACTTGGGCCCACTAGATAAAAACCTTGGCCTTAATCCCAAAAAAGAGAAAAACGGCTGGCCGTCGCCGATTGTGCCTGCGTCTTGCGCCTCCATCTTCTCTATTCTTCAGACGCGACGGCGACGTCTTCTCAACAAGCCTTCTGCTGCCACAAATGGCTTTTCTTCTCCTCACATATTTCGAAGCCTTTTTCGACTTTTTTGCATAGGTACCAGAACCCATTTCTTCGCTAATTTTGTAGCCCTCTGACGCGCCTCCGTCCTTCTCCTCTAAATCTGTGAAGATTCCAAATGGTGAAGATGAGGCTCCCCAACTCCTCCTCCTGGTATTCTTTTGACCCTTGCCTTGGTCTCCCTCATTATCCTTTGGGTTAAAGCTTCTTTTTTGGTGACCGAGCCTCATCCTACGATCATCCAAGCACCGAACTCTTCTTCGGCTTTAAGGGGCTTCTTTTCCGGCTATGGCGACGTCCTTTCCTTCTCCGGCATCGTGCTCGGCGCAGAGCCCCCTTGATGGGGCATCATGCTCGCAGAACCTCTATGTTGGGGCGTTGTGTATGTCCGGGCACAATTCTCCATCTACCGCGCGCAAGCCTCCATCCTTCATACTCCGTATCATACACTTTATTGGCTCCAATAGTTCTTCGAACTAGTATTTTCTGTAAATCTAATATCATACAAATGCAGGCATATCTACCTCTCTCCACTGGAGCGCAATTTAGATAAATTACAAAATCTATTATCTCCTCATTCTTTTGTTGAATGGACAAAAGGAAACTACTACTCTTTTTGAGATCCTGCATTGCGTCCAAGTCACTGAAGCAGGGGAAGCTCATTCATCAGAAGGTTGTCACTTTAGGATTGCAAAATGATGTTGCCTTATGCAAAGACCTGATTAGCCTTTACTTCTCTGCCCACCTTTATGATCATGCCAAGCATGTTTTTTGTTCCGTTGCAAACCCGTCTGAGATATCTTTGTGGAATTGCCTTATGGCGGCTTACACTAAGAATTTTATGTACACTGAAGCGCTAAGCCTCTTTAATAAGTTATTGGTTTACCCTGACTTAAAGCCTGATTTTTACACATACCCCAATGTTCTTAAGGCCTGTGGAGCAAAGGGTAGAATTGGTTGTGGAAAAATTTTTCATGCGTGTTTGCTAAAAAGTGGGTTTATAATGGATGTTGTAGTCGGAAGCTCTCTTGTGAGTATGTATGCTAAATGCAATGGGTTGGAGCATGCGATCCAGGTGTTTGATGAAATGCTGGAAAAGGATGTGGCATGTTGGAATTCAATAATTTCTTGCTATTACCATTGTGGAAAGTTTGAAGAGGCACTAAAATATTTTGAGGCAATGAGAAAATGTGGTTTTGTGCCCGATTCTGTGACAATCACTATTGCTATTTCATCATGTGCAAGACTTCTGGACTTGGACAGGGGAAAAGAAATTCATAAAGAATTGGCAGGTAGTGTGTTTCTTTCGGATAGTTTTGTTAGCTCTGCTCTTGTTGACATGTATGGAAAGTGTGGCGATCTAGAAATGGCCAAAGAGATTTTTGAGCAAATACCGAGAAGGACTATAGTTGCTTGGAATTCCATGATTGCTGGTTATGGTTTGAAAGGTGACAGTATTTCGTGTATTAAACTTTTTAACAGGATGCACAGTGAAGGTCTAAAACCAACTTCGACTACCATAAGTAGCATAATAATGGCTTGTTCACGGTCAGCCCGTCTTCACGAGGGTAGACTCATACATGGTTACATAGTACGAAACAGGATACAGCCTGATATTTTTATCAATAGCTCACTCTTAGATCTGTACTTCAAATGTGGTAGGGTCAAGTCAGCTGAAAATGTTTTTACAACAACACCAAAGACAAGTTCAGTTGGTTGGAATATTATGATTTCGGGATATGCGAGTGCAGGGATGTATTTCGAAGCCCTTAGCATCTTTAGTCAAATGAAAGAAGCTTATGTTGAACCTGATGCTATTACTTTTGCCAGTGTTTTAGCAGCTTGCTCACAACTAGCAGCGCTAGAAAAGGGTAAAGAGATTCACAATCTTATCATTGAGAAGAAGTTCAAAAGCAATGAAGTGGTTATGGGGGCTCTCCTTGACATGTATGCAAAGTGTGGTGCTGTAGATGAAGCATTTGATGTTTTCAAGTGCTTACCAGAGAGAGATCTGGTGTCCTGGACTTCCATGATCACCGCATATGGATCTCATGGTTGTGTATCGGAAGCCTTGGAGCTTTTTGCCGAAATGAAGCGGTCCAATGTGAAACCTGACGGAGTTGCCTTTCTTGCCATATTATCTGCTTGCGGTCATGCTGGGTTGGTTGACGAAGGATTTTCTCTGTTTAACCAAATGATCAATGTTTATGGCATCAAACCTAGAGTTGAACACTATTCATGTGTCATTGATTTTCTTGGACGTGCTGGAAGATTGCATCAAGCTTATGAGATCCTGCAAAGAGACCCGGAAATCAGGGATGATACCGAGTTGTTAAGCACATTACTTTCTGCATGTCGATTGTACAGAGATTTTGATTTAGGAGTTAAAATTGCTGAAACACTTGTCGACAAGGACCCGGATGATCACTCAACTTATATCATGCTATCAAGCATTTATGCTTCTGTTCAGAAATGGGATGAGATGCGGAAAGTAAGATCAAAGATGAGAGAGCTTGGACTAAAGAAGAGACCAGGATGTAGCTGGATTGAGATTGATCAGAAGATCCATCCTTTCTTTGTTGAAGACAATTCATACTGGCAAATAGAATCAGTGAATGAATGCCTTGCAAATCTTACCAATCACATGGAAAAAGATGAGCTTTTGCCATTCATAGATCATCTTGATAATGAAGCAGGGTTTTATTGCTTGTATGGATAGGCTTCATAGGACGAACATGACGTGGATCCTGAAACAGTGATCCGTTTGTGCAGTACCAGGCAACTCGTTTTCCCCCCCCCCCCAAATAAATCTCAGAGCAAACACAAAAAATGGGAAGCTAAAAAAAAAAGGAGATACGGATGAACAGAAATTTTAGCCTTCCTCTGCTTTATTGCAGACTTCTCCCGTGCTATCTAGTCAAAGATGAAAGAATTTTATAGTTTGGGAGAATTGCAGAAAGGTAGGAAACATATTTACAAAAAAAGCTTAATAATAAATAACAATAAGTTTCAACTGTTTACCTGTTACTGAGATTTTTTAATGATTATCTTCATTCTCTGGACCTCATAATAATTTTTTCAAAAAAGTTTTTGTAAGCATTGACCTTAGTTGTAACTTAAAATTAGTCAAATTATTTATACATTACCTCAAGTTTGAGAAATTAACCAAAGATTGCATTGTTTATGATTTATTATAAATCATATCTATATATGTTAAATGAACAGTAAATAATAGTTACATTGGTCGAAAAACTGATGTGATTTAGGCAATTTGACAAGCATCGCCCAACTAGGTGCAGTGAGGCAGTGTTGCCATTGTTTTTGCATGAAACCTCAAGAGAATCATGTTCTTGGCTTATACGGCTTATAAACAAGCAGTTCTATTATTTATATTGATGTTAACTAATATTTCGCAAATATATATATGTATTTTTGCTAAAGCATAGGTATTCTTTTATTAGAAGCAATCTTATTCAAGGCACTGTTAAGTACTAAATATGGGTACTTCTTCCAACAGGGATTCGAATCTTGGTTCGCTACGTTGTGATGAACTAGTCCCTTCTGCTGGACCCAACCCTGTTGGTATATTTCACAAAAATATTGTTCATGGTACAAGTGAAAACACCAAAAACATTTAGGTCAATACTAAAGATAGAGCCATTAAAATGGGCTAAATATGATGAACTAACTTGTTACTAACTATGTTCGGTTCATAGTTAGTAATGAACTAGTTTGTTTAATTCGTCAATTTGAATAAGCTGGATCGTGAACTATTACTAAAATGGACAACAAATAAACTTTTACCAATAACCTTTTCGAGTTTTAAATAATACAAGAATTCTCTCGTTTCAGATGATGTTGCCACTCATTTTTATACTAATAATTGATAACTTGCATGGTTTTCAATACAATAAACTGATAATTTATTAATATGTTTATTGATAGTTGTTTTTATTTATATTGTAGCATTATGAATGATGATTAATGACACTTTTTAAGGGAAAAAAATATTGAAGCTAGGACATCAAAATTATACAATACATTCATTAAAAAATCTCACAACAACTGAATAATATATAATGACAAGTTTTAGTGTAAGAAATAACAATAAATTTATACTTCTAACTTATCATTAAAACATACTAATAATTACGATATTCTCTTAAGATCTCATAATAATTCTCCCAATTTTTTAGTTGGTTCGATGGAATTTGCTAATCAACCAAAATTTTTATTTTTAGACCATCAAACTACGATAAATTAAATGAACAAATTCGTTAACCCAAACCAATTATGAGTCAACACATTTGACTCATTTTGACGGCTCTAAATAAAAGCATTGATATTTTTTTTCTCGAGTGAATAAAAAGATTTAGCATTTCCAATGAGACTCATGCCAACTACACTTCAAAACAATGGCAAAAATTTATGCAATTTGTTATTGCTTCTGAGCTAATATATAAATTTTAAATAACTAATTCACAAATAACAGTTAATTAAAATTAGTTAAAAATAATAAATAAGTTAAAAATATCTTACTTGTCAATATACTCTTATAATAAAAAAAAAAAAAAAAGAGGAAAGAAAATGCATGAAAAGATATGATAGTATGACAAGGAAAAGAAAATAAATATTTAAAGGCAAAATTAAAAAAATTATATTAAATGTTGAGACACACCTAAATTAAGGTTTATAAAATGAACCACACGCCTTCTTAAATTTGAAAATTAAGTATAGGATCAGAAGGAGTATATGCCAATTAATCCAATAAATTATAAGGCATATAAACACTTGGAAATAACCATCCAACACTAAACTGCAAAAAACCATATATTTGTTGTATGTAAATTCACAACCTGATAAATATAATCAAGATAACTGCTTATATATTGTTTTCTTTGATTTTATAACTAAGTCAACTAATCATATGCATCAGGAAAGAACGAGAAAGGGTAAAGGATAAATGAAACATGAATTTATTATGAGAACTAGATGAGAAAGTCAGATGCATGTTTGACATGAATGTCGACTTGTGGTGTTAGTGAAAGTATTTACACAATTGCAATGACAAAAGAAAGAAGAAATGGAATGTGATTATGATAAGTATGGCTCCAAATTTTAAGTTGCTCCATTGCAGTAATGGATGCCATTGCAGGTTGCATTTTGGTACTTTACATTCAGACAATTCAGACCCCAGATTCGAATTGTTCGGTCATCACTGGCTGAGGCCAACATGTGGGGGTTTGCTGGATTCCAAGTCACGCAGTTAACTGCTCCAGAATGACCTGGCAATGCCTCTATTAGTTCCCCTGAACTTCTGTGCCATATATATACCTACACACAACCACAGTGGAAAAGGAAATACCATCAATTCAAACTCAGTGAGTAGTCCAACAGAATTGAACAGAAGTGACTGCTGACTTGAAAGTAAAACCCTTCCCCCGTACAAAAGCTGGAGAGAAAAATGCCTAGCTAGCACTTTAAGCATTGTTATGATAAAGTTAATAATTAGAGGCTTCCAGTGCTCAAAAGCATAAGAAGTTGAGGGTGAACGCAGTATATATATAACATTAAGAGAGAAAAGATCCCTTATGTCACACTTGTAACCATAAGATCGCAATATTGCATTACACATCAAAGAGAAACGAGCTTCTTGCCTGCTGAAATTTTCATATTGTAACAATCGTATGCTGATTTATCACTCTAGTTCTTGAGGGTTACAAACGATGCACCATGTCTTGGGGTTAGAGTACCAAAATACAAGGCCTTAGGAATCATACTCAAGTACATTAAGGGCTCGTTTTGATTGCCGTTGGGAATGATAAAAGCACACGGAAAAACATGAAACTGAGGTTTGTGGCTTATTGTGACTCAGAAGATTGTTTGGATGAGGTTTCTTTTCTAGTTGACTTATAAGAAAAAGTAACTTTTCTAACTAATTTATCCAACGCAATCTAGATCAATTTTTCTAACCGACTTATGAAAAAATTATAAAAAGCTTACAATCTAATTAGTTATATGATTTCATTTACTTTAATTAGAGACTAAATGAATTTTAATTTATATTCATGTTTGTCTATTATGTATATTTAATTAATTGTCTACAATGTGTTTTCAAATTTTTCTCCGTAACAAATAGTTTTATTTTATAATTTGACACATAAACTATTTATATTTTATCATAATAATTTTATGTATTTTTTTAAACTATTATCACATTAAAAACATAAAATTTCAAATATTACTATTCAATATAGTTGATGTCATTTTCAGTCATTTTATAACTAAACTAACTTTTCTATTAATTATCCAAACAACTTTAACTTTTTTAACTGACTTTTTATAAGCACCTATCCAAACATAAATTGCATTACACTAGCTGACTTTTACTCTAACTTCAATTATAAAAATTAGTTGGACTATAAGTCAGTTTTGCCCAATGCTAATCCAAACATACCCTAAGACTTTCTTGACACTTGCGTTTAGGGGAGGTACTTCTTTTGCCGAGAATAGTGAGCTATCCTTCACTCTTAGTTTTACTGACATCTTAAATTATAAGTTTCAAAACCAATGAATCCATGAAGAACACTATTTCATAAATATTTCATACCAATATTTATCCTAGTTATTTTAACCCTGCATTACATGTATGAGAAAAAAGCATTCGCCCTCATGAAACAGAATTTAAAGAGATGTAAAATAAATTCAGCTTACAAATTCTCGACAATTATATTCTCAAAGGATCACACATTTGAAGCATCGATGTGTAAAATGTAGAATGCTAATGAATGCATACCTGTGAGTCTTCACTTCCACTAGCAATAAATGCTTGCTTCAGTCCACCAAAGCATGACCTGATGAGAAACCTGGAGCGTCTATGGCCTTTGTATTTGCCAACAAGCTTAGGATCACCTTCAATCTTCCAGAGATGTATTTCTTGGTTCGAAAGATTAACCAGCATCAATCTGTTATCCTTTGATAAAGAAAAGGAGGTTATTGTCTGGTCCTCTTCAATGAACCTCTCATCCTTTGTTTCTCTGTTGAACAATTGAACTACCTTCTCTTTACAAATACTAAGAATAGTTTCCTCATCACCTATTACTTCCAAGTCAGAAATCTTGAGGGTTCTTGGTCCTTTCAGAGTTTCCAATTCTTTCCCATCCAATTCCCAAGTGCAGATGCTCTTGTCACTGAGGCCAGAAAGTATATACTTCCCAGTTGGAGACCAAGCACACGAGACCAGGCCGAGACCAGCTTTTTCATAGACATTAAGGCACTGACCAGTAGAAACATCCCAACGCCTAATGACCTCCTCTACTCCACATGTGAGGAGCTGTTGGTCATCAGGGCTCCATGAAACAGAAGATACAGGTTTCTGGTGACCAGATAATCTATGCTTTACAGACAGTCCACCATCCATGCCAACCTATTGAAGGAAGCATCCAAAAAACAACCTGTCATTAATTTACTATTGAGAGGATATGATATGTGCATATAACACTAATAATCACAGGGGGTGGAAGACATTGTTCATGTTGCCATTTATAAAGGAAACAACCAAATCAAGAAATAAAATAATAATACAAGGCATATCCAGTAAGTCAAACCATTTAGATAAATGCAAACTTATGACCAACAGTGATAATTAGGGCGTTCAGATCAGAGGATTTATCGAAGTGATCCTCTGGAACCACTTCAAAGCCATCTGAGTATATAGTATATACGGGTTAGCTGGTTCTGCAACATGTCCAATCTCATTACTTGACTGGAGAAGGAACCAGGATATCAGGTACAGTCTG